ATGGTCTTTTCTGATTAGTTCATATCTTAATAGGGGCTTTTGGTTTGGAGAGTTTTGGCTGATTTTATGTAATCTGAACTTGCTATGTTTTTATCCTGATATTCCTCATTTTTCCTCTTTTGATTGTAGAAAAGGAGAACTTGTGCCTTTATGGGAACCCGAATGAGCAATGGGAAGTGAATCTACCAGCTGAAGAGGTTCCCCCGGAGCTCCCAGAGCCTGTCTTGGGTATCAACTTTGCCAGAGACGGGATGATGGAAAAGGATTGGTTGTCCCTTGNTGCTATGTTTTTATCCTGATATTCCTCATTTTTCCTCTTTTGATTGTAGAAAAGGAGAACTTGTGCCTTTATGGGAACCCGAATGAGCAATGGGAAGTGAATCTACCAGCTGAAGAGGTTCCCCCGGAGCTCCCAGAGCCTGTCTTGGGTATCAACTTTGCCAGAGACGGGATGATGGAAAAGGATTGGTTGTCCCTTGTTGCTGTCCACAGTGATGCATGGCTTCTTGCTGTTGCTTTTTTTTTCGGAGCCAGGTTTGGATTTGACAAAGCTGATAGGTATGTGTCTTCTAGTCTCACTACAGTTTGAGTCTTATCTTCTTGTGTCCTATATCTATTTTCCGTTTTAGTCACCATTCATGCTTGCCAAGTGTTCTACTCCTTCACAGTTTCAGCTCTCTGTAATTGATCTTCCACATTGTTGTTGCAGGAAACGGCTTTTCAACATGATGAATGACCTCCCATCAATATTTGAGGTTGTTGCTGGCACTGCAAAGAAGCAATCAAAGGAGAAATCATCTGTTTCCAACAACAGCAGCAACAGATCCAAGTCAAACTCCAAGGTAACAAGCTTTGTTATTTTATGGCATGAGCACTTATGTGCACTGTTTTCTTTTGTCCAACTTACTAAACCCCCTTTGTCCCTTTTCAAATTACAGAGAGGATCAGAACCGAGGCCCAAGTACTCAAAGCCAGAGCCCAAAGATGAAGAGGAAGAAGAAGGTGTTGAAGAGGAGGATGAGGATGATGATGAGCAAGGGGAAACACAGTGTGGGGCATGTGGTGAGAGCTATGCAGCCGATGAGTTCTGGATCTGCTGTGACCTCTGTGAAAACTGGTTCCATGGGAAGTGTGTGAAGATAACACCAGCAAGGGCTGAGCACATCAAACAGTACAAGTGCCCATCTTGCAGCAACAAGAGAGCTCGATCCTAAGTTTCATTGTTTATTGCCGCCGCCTTTGTCTATTTGCTTTGCATATGATGAACAAGCCTAANGCCGATGAGTTCTGGATCTGCTGTGACCTCTGTGAAAACTGGTTCCATGGGAAGTGTGTGAAGATAACACCAGCAAGGGCTGAGCACATCAAACAGTACAAGTGCCCATCTTGCAGCAACAAGAGAGCTCGATCCTAAGTTTCATTGTTTATTGCCGCCGCCTTTGTCTATTTGCTTTGCATATGATGAACAAGCCTAACTGTTTGGTTAGATCAGATTTGTTGGTTAAGTTAAGACTTCATGTGATTTGGTTATCTTAGGCGCTAGTTAGCCTCATGTTCAAGGTTTAATCCTTGGCTCTGTTTTATGTTTGTTTATTAGAGAGTAAAACATTTTTAAGAACCCAATCAAAAGTGTCTTTGTTAGATTTGCCATTACGTTTCTTCATTTCAACACAAGAAACAGAGAAACTTAGACTATGTCTGCTTCTTTGTGGACAGACGCTTTAAGTACTCGTAGGTTGTGATCATAGTTGTTGCAGACATGGACATAGAGACCCACCTTGGTCCTAACCCTCTGTAACAAGCCCCAAACCCTCCTTCCCTCATCAAGCTCTTCACCGTCTGCATCACTGTCATTGCTCGTCTCCTCCCGTTCTCTTCCGCATCTAAAACCTGCAACCTCGTCTTGATTGTGTCTACAGGCATAGTTATTAAAGCTGAGCAACCACTTGCTGCAGCTGCACTCAGCGCTTGAACCACCATTGAGCCACGAGCATCTTCCTTACGCTCATATGGACTTTTGTACCTAGACCAAATCGCTTTCTGAGCCAAAGAATAAGACGCCCACCATACAGCGTTTGAAGGTGCATAAGTCAAGATGGAGAGACCAAACCCTCTGTAGAACCCTCTTGGTCCATCACTGTAAAGAATCTTTCTAAAAGCATCAAACCCATTAGTGTATCTGCAAGAACTGATCACTCCAGGTACATGCTTATTCATTGACAGGTCTCCTTGAACCATAAGCCGTTGGCTCACGACATCAATAGGAGTCCACACAACCTGAGCAGCCACAGCCGAGGTCAAACCAGCTGCACCATTGGAAACAGCCATAGAGGTTGTATCAGACAAACCTAACCTAACAGTTGCGTGACCTACACTACTCTTGGTGATCTCTAGAGCCGTCATGTAGAGAGCACGAGCCGGGATGGTTCCAAGCAAAGAAGTACCAAAGCCCTTGTAGAACCCTTTTAGACCCTCGAGTCTAGCGATGGCCACAGAGATGTTGGCACAGGAGACACGCGTCGGTGAGACTTGTTGCCTTGTCTTGAGGACTACGATAGGGTAAAGAGCTGTGGATACGCCGGAGAAGAGAGCAGCACCGAGGAAGAAAAACCTTGACTTATCAAGCATTTGCCAGTCTACATCTTTGGACATATACACCTGAGAGGAAGAAGTTGATCTTGCTCTCTTCTTCTCTTCTCTCATCAAGGCACCTAAACTCATTTTCAACTTATCTTTGTTTTACTTAAAGCTAGTCACTGTGAGCTATGAAAGAGATGTATTCTTGTGAATGACCCTTAAAATATGGCAACTCTACTGATTCACTAGTGTTTGTGAAATATCCTGTGGAGAAGAGAGAGGAGTAGATATAAACCAGTAGAATGAGATCTCTGTGGATTTATTAGCTTATAAAACTGTGAACTCGATAGAGAATATATTTATAATAAATATATAGGAGCCAAAACGATGGGTCGTATTGGATTAACACAAGTGGAGTGGCCTTTAACGGACTCAAAAGGGTGTGCTAGACACAGAGGGAGAGAGACTGACATGAGAATGAGCACAATGGACATGTGGCGAACTTTTATTGGTTTATGTTCGAGAAACTCGCCGCCTTTGAGGTTACATTGGTTTCTGTCGGATCGTCCACATGTTTCACCATTCTATGGGTTTCAATCATTTTTTATTCGTCCTTATTTGCATCTTTTTTATTTCTTCTTTCTTGCCGTTTCCTGTGGGTTTCTCATTTAACTTTATGAGAAATAATGTACTTATCCATAACCGTTACTGCGACAATTTGCTGTATACTTTTTATATAAAAATGTGATTAGTCCAGTAGAATCCTTTTTTTCCCTCGACCGGTTCCGTCCTGAGTAAATGTTCAGTTGCAAGCCAAAGGCAAAGGCACTGTGATCAACTTGTTAGAAAACCTCAAGTCAACTCTCTGTTTCATATAAAACTTAACTCATGGTTTCATCGAGATTCACAATAAGATAATGTATAGCACTATAAAATATAGAATATGCACAAGCTTGCGCTCTCTAGAATAAGGCTCTTTTGTCTTTTCTCATGTTGGCTAAAGCAAATATTTATCCATGATCCATAATTTCCTCTAGACGTAGACATTATCTACTTGGAAAAATGTCTTAAAGAGTTTAAGGTTCAGTTATTAAGTAACATAACACACACACCCAGAAGAATCAGTTAAAACCTGCTGAATGAGAAGGAAGAAGATGGTTCAAACGATATATAGTGGTTCCAGAGCCAAAGCACGATGGATTCAACAATGTACCCCGGACCTGTGACGATAATCAGCCACACGCAAGCATGCATTACACTGGATGATTACTATTTCTCAGTTCAGAGAGCGACTCTCTTCCCAGTAGACTATCCAAACATAAGAAAATGAATAAATTGGACTCCGACAATATAGGTCCTAATCGCGTGTACCTGAAGAAGCACTAAGATCAAGAAACAATCCTATAATAGATAGCCATACCACAGACTGAGTAATGCTTACCTTTGCAAAGACTTGAATATAAGATAACCCATGAGATTTGTTCTTCAAAATCATGTTAATTCAAGTTACTTGGAACAAAACTATCTAACAACAGCTGAAAGGGTATACGTGAAAAAGAAAAAGGAAAGACACTGGTGGCACCAGACAGCTTAATACTCTGTTCCAAATGCTTTACTCGTTCTTCATGTAGCTCGCATGCTATGATTTTTCCTTATCCTTTCATAAGAGCAGCGATATTAACATTTTTTTGTTTCCTGTAGCTGAACAGGCAACAAGAACCTTCACAAAAGAGGCAAGATTTAGCATGATAACTAAGCAAACAAGGTACAATAAGCGTATTCAACAATCATCATGACATATTGTTAAACCTATCCAAGATTTTAACTTGACTAACTAAACTAAACATCTAGATATCACATATATGGAAATGTTAAATATGTAAAATACTCCTTATTCACTTCTTAAAACTAAACAAAAAAAGAGAATATGACCCCGCTTTAGACTGCATAAGTTACTACTACTTAATAGGCTCTAAGAAGTAGGAAGTGTAGGAATGATGGACCATCTCTACACAACAAAGTCTGCTTGACTTGAAAATTCAACAGCCTAATTAATATCAGAAAGTCTTTTATATCTTTCATTTCATTTCAGCCAACCATGTCTTTATCGTCTCAAAACACTTATCCCTTGAAACAAATCAAATTAAGAAAATAAATTGGTATTTTTTCTCAGCGATGGTAATTTGTGTACCGTAACTTAAGCCTAAGTCCTTGCACGAGAAGACTTATGAAAAGACTTGAAAGAAGACCAGGACGGAATAAATTAGATTAAAAAAAGAGTAGTCGTGGACCAAGACACAAGTCAACTACAGGTCCTTGTAAGACCTAAAGGTGATTCGATGCATCCATCTTCTTTATGTATCTCTACCTTAAACAAGTACACGTTTCTACATATTATATATTTATGCATTTACCTCGAAGCTTCCTTTCTAAAGCTAGTCTTCAAAATAGAAAGGTCTATCTGAAACATATATGCACTACTCACACATTCTTTTGTATGCATGAATAGCTATGAATGATGCAGAGACAAACTTGGCGAGAAGTTTCAGCAATGATACTTACTCCGGTTTCCACCTTCCGGATCTGTACAAGTCAGATGAATGGATGGACGATGCTCTTGTCTCTGCCGTTTCAGGGATGAATCATTCTTATGCTTATCAGACAAGTGATGATGCTGCCTTCTTCTCAGGTTCCTCTAGCAGTTTCGGTCATCCCAAATCTCCAAGCACCAACGCTACTGTTGCCTTTGCTACACCCACCGCTTCTGCCGGTAAGTTTCTCCTTTTTATCTGTGGAAACCATATAAGATAGGATAATCCTGAAGGAAAATGAAATCATGATTCAAAGATCTGCCAACATATGTATACACTCTTTTAAAACATGCGTCCTAGATGATTTCATAAAACCCTATGAGTCAGAGAACTAGACCATAAGAGGGTTGGGTTCAAATATAGTTTCTGAAAAGCATAGACATATTAAGACTTAAACCAAAATGGTGTTTACAGGTCCTCCTGTGCTGAATCTGTTTTCTCTCTCTTTCCTATTGACTTATGCAAGAAAAACAGATAAAGAAAGAAAAGAAGAAAATAAAAGAGAGAGTTGCATTCAAGACACAGTCTGATGTAGAAGTGCTTGACGACGGGTTCAAGTGGAGGAAGTATGGGAAGAAGATGGTGAAGACCAGCCCAAATCCCAGGTAGGGAACAACATTTTCTCGATCTTAGTTACATCTTTTAAAATTCAGACCTTTTCATACTAAATGTGACAAAACAAAAGCAAAAAGGGGCAAAGACCTATGACCTACAAATCAAATACACCAAAGTACCTCTTGTTAATTTTAAAGATTTTCATATAATTTGCAGAAACTACTACAAATGTTCAGCTGATGGCTGTCCCGTGAAGAAAAGGGTTGAACGAGATGGAGATGATCCTAGCTTTGTGATAACAACTTATGAGGGCTTCCACAATCACTCAAGCATGAACTAAGGTTCGTCAGAATTTTCTAAGCTTATGGTAAAGACGGAAAGAATACGTCGTCTGAGTAAAGCTAGTGACACCAATACTATTCACGTTATATTTCTTATAAATGTGTTCTTGAGACTGGTTTTCAATGGTAATTCTACTTATACTGCTTATCTAATACTCAATGTAAAACTGGTTGACAAATTTTGAAAGATTTATGATATTCTGAGTCTGGAATACTTCTATAGCATCTTATTTTTGTTACAAGTGAGAAACTCATCAATTCAAACATAAGCAGAAAATTAACAGACCATGTCCCAAACAACTCTGAACATGATTGCTTCGTACCAACCTTGAACCTGCATAGAGCATAATGAAGATTTCATGCACAAGGAACAGAGAAAGCATCACATTTGACGATTTGAATCAATACCTGTAAACGCGCCATTGCAAATAACTACAAAGCGCCCACTTACCTTGAATTTAATTACCCTTGATTTTCCTGGAGTGAGATGCAGTCACAGACCAAGCTACATGTTTCTATGACCTCGAGTATGTGCACATCACAAAGATTCCTAAAGGCAGTATTTAGACTCAAGACAGAAAATCATATATATGACTCACTGGGAAAATGTCATCAACCTTTATAAAAGAAAGAAGCTTTGATGAAAGACTAAGACCAAGACCAAAATTTAGCAAATTGATGTATATTTACCAATCAAAATATTTCTCATACACATTATATAGCTGATGACATCTGAGTCTACTTCTTTCAACTAGCTTTCACATCAAAATGACTTGCTCTTAAGCAGAGTGTGGAAACAACATATAAGATAATATGCCGATGGAAATGTTACTATCACAATCCTTTTGTTATTTCATCTGAAATGATCACATCTGGATTTCTTGTTAGTGGAACAGAAGCAACAGAGCTAGACAAATCACCTTCCTGATTGTGCCTATCGATTGTTATACTCCACAATGTGTCCAAGTTCTTTCTGGTTGCTTGTGGGTTTGATACAATGATCGCCTTTGACTTAGAAGCTTGACAGTTGATGGTTTTACCAGTACCACTGGCAAGTAACCAGCAGGATCCAGACTCTTGTTGGGTTTTCGTACACCACGGATGGTCAACACCAGGCTCAGTTTTTAAACCCGCAAGACCAATGTTGGTGATTCTCCACAAATGTGTATCATTATTATCGAAGGATTCTTCTTGTGGATTTGAGGAAACCAAAGACCTTTCAACTTGGACCAGAGCAAGCATAGATGCACCGACAGGTTCATTATGTCGAAGTGGATCTCTAAGCAACACTCGAAGAGCAAGTGTCAACTTGTTCCCGGAGGTATTGACCTTTCCATTAGAAGCTTGATCTTGATAGGCATGGTGGGTTGACGCTTTTTCTCTAATATGATTGCCGGTTTCATCTCCAGTGTTTAACGTTCCATGGTCAAGCCTTAACCACTCATCCAACTTTACGGAAAAACTAATCAACTCTAAAGCCTCAGACTGATCCATGGGTTTTGGTGCAGTAACTGATGGTGGATCTTGGTCTGACATACTGTATTGAATCCTTAATCCTTCTACCGAAAGAACTTCTATCCCATCAATAGCTAAGGACGTAAGAGCGTCAAGAGGTACATAACCTGAGCACATATTGGATCCAAAGACCCCAAAAATTTCTTGTGAAAGAAACGTACCCAGCTGTCCTGATGGTTTCATAGCCATGTCAGCTTTACCCTTGTCAGAACAATCATGTACAATTCTGCAAATCATAAACTAAATAACTTTAGGATAGATATGGTAAATAGGAAAGATAACGAATCAACATGGTAGAAAGCATCTGAACCTCTCAAATTTTGTGTCCTCGATAACTTCATGTATTGTCTTCCCCATGATATCTTCCAAAGGCATTAATGCATTAATTTTAGAGCAAAGCCCTTCGATTCCGGAAGCTGCCAAACTTTGGAGTATTTCAAGAACATCACAACCTAATTCTGGTACTAACACCACAGGAACTGAAACTTGCATGATCAGACATGATGCATCCTTACACTTTCTGAACAGTAACGGACTCATGGACCTGACACACCCTCCTCCTTTTGTCCAAACAAAAGGACCAATATCATCTCCAAGAGGCGGCAAATCTGATCCCTCCTCAACTGGAAGCTCTATTGGACTTCCAAACCCATCAGAGCAAACACATAAAGAGTCATTAAAATTGTTGTCATCTAAATCCCACTCTCGCATTAAAGTTTCAGTTTCCAAGTCTTCAAGAACCTTAGCATTCCTTCGGCTTATTAACAGCTGAGACTTTCCTTCACACTTGGTTTCACCCACAGAACTTGAGGAGAATGAGAAATCATTCGGTTCCTCATCAATATCAGACACATATCCTTCTCCCCCACCCAAATCTAAGAGACAGTTTCCAGAAGCCAGAGCCTCCTTCTCAAACTCTCGAAGCAGATACTCACGAGGAGATGTAGGTTCACAATCTGAGGTAAAAGCATAAGAACGTTCCTCAAGTTCAAGCATGTTTAGAAACTCATTAGCTACAGATTCAGTAATGTCATCCAAGCTTCGTGACTTCGTTAATACTTTTGCATCTTTGTAACTAGATTTAACTTCCAAGAAATTTTCTTTCTCAGTAGAGTCATCGATGGCTGATGAAGATTTAATCTCAACATGGCTACTGAAAGCAGACTTGGGTTCTCCACTTTTTAGCTCAGCCACTGATAACTGATCAATAAAACAGGGTTCCTCCAAAAAGACTTCATCATCATCTTCATCTTTAAGTAACTCAGTGACATCAATGACTTCAATTTCCGAGGACTCCGTCTTTGGATCAGTGCTTTCTTCCAGCCTGGATCTTTTTCCAGTGTTGTCAGAGTCATCTGCTTGCTTATCAGTCTTGACACCTTGCTCTACCTTAGTCTTCTCCAGATGGTCATACTCCATATCAATTTCTGTTGATGTTTCCGTGTTTTGTTCGCTGAGTTTTTCATAGAGAAGATCAACTGACCTTGAAAGATCCAAACTCAAATTCGGCGAGAGTTGATGGGAGAACTTTCCATCATCAAGCGGTGAAGATCTACGCTCCATACTCGGAACACTACCAACTCTCCTCAGCATCACATTCCCACCAGTTGAATCACAGACAGAGCTAGTAACAACCGAGTAATCAAAACCAAGATTCAACACAGCAGAATCCGCCACACCAGACAACTTAAAGCTCGTGTTCCACTTCCTCGCACCTTCCATCTCCTCCAGAGACAAAGGCAAGATCCTGGTGAGATCAACCCAATGCTTCCCAAGAACAAGCCAGGGAGCATCAACAGGAGAGACACAGACCAAGAAAAGCTTCTGATCATATCTCCCATGTTTCCTACCGTAGACTAAACATCTATGCGTCAAGATCTCATCAAACTCTACAGTTCCTTGCAAAACATTTGAAGGTTGAGTAGACATAACCACTTCCTCTTTCCTCTTCCACTGCACAACTAGTTTAGTACCATCCAAATTCTCAGGCAAAATTTCAATGGAATGAACATGGAGATGAAAACAAACATCAAACCTACGCTGCCCCAAATGAGCTATAGCTTTTAAAGGTTTCTTCCAATCCCATGGCACTGAAGATTTCTTCTTCTTACTCTCTGTGGCAACAGATCTAGATCGGACAGGAGGCAACGAAAGGAGCGGCCTTTGAGGTTTGTTGTTCAAGTAAAGAGCTTTACTTACTTCCTTGATGTCTCTCAAAAGCTGCCCATTGTATGAATCCTCTCTTTCATTAGAGGACATTGCTTGATCAAGTCATATACTCTACCAAACCCTAAAAACGTCAAATTTAGAAATTAAAGTTAGTAACTTTGAATGAAACAAATCATTGAAAGATGAAAACTTTGAAATCTGAATCTAAAGAGACTTGCTTTGTGGTATTATTGAAGCAAAGAATCTAACTTTGAAAGAAGCAGACAAAAAGCGCTCGTTGTTGTTCTTACCGGTTTTTGAAACGAGACAATCAGAGATCTTGTCGGGATTTCAAAAGAATAGAAAATCTTGTTCACGGGAAAAGCGTGAGTGAATTTAATGCTTTGTTTTCGGAGGTAGGGCTTGTTCGTATGATTTGGTGGGTCCAAAGAGTGTGTGTGTGTTATTGTTGTTGGTGATGCAGTGACGTAACAGTGGAGGAAGATAGAAGATGAAATTCACAAGGCATGGAGCTAAGGCGAGAAAACTGTCTGTTGTTTTATATTATGCGTTCTAACATAAACGGCATGCTTGTTTATTCTACAGTTCAGTGACAGCGCGAAGTTTCTATCAAAGGAACCCTTTAATTTCGAAATTCGAATAGAATGTTTTAATGAATCGATCTTCAACTAATTAACCTTTTTATTCCTAATCGACGTATATTTGATGTGTTTAACCTTTTTTTATTCCGGACACTTGCTAAAATACGACCATATTGCTAAAATAAGCTTATTACTGGTCTCTCAAAATTTGCCATCTTAAAAAAAATAATCTCGTAATACATAATATGATGATGAATGTGTTACTAATGCACCAGTCAAGATACAAGATTAGTGGCTGAATCAACAGTTGAAAGGGCAAAAATGAAGATATCCAATTTTAACAATTTTTACTCTTAATTTACTAGTTAAAACAAAGAAAACCATTTTTATTTCAGAATGAGTTATCATATATGGGAACATTGCAGATTTGTGAAATAATGTGTTATTTTCTTATAACTTAATATATAATTATGACTTTTGATGTAAAATTTTATACTTTAATGTACATTTTATATGTTAACTATTGTACTTTTATATATGTGTTAGTTATTTATAAAAGTTTTATGGATTTATATTATTTATGGAAAATGTAAAAATCATAGTACAAAATACAAATATTTTGAAAGTTAAATTTGAAATTTTGATTTTGTAGAAAAAATTGCTAACCAAAGTCAATCTTTTATCGGGCTTGTTCCAAATTTGCCCATGAATGACTCAGTGCCTCAAAGAAAGGTCTTTCCTCCCTAAGTCTTTTTAGTAAGATGTTAAATTTGGAGAAAAGTGTTTCTGTTGCACATGATATACATTGCATTTTTCTTTGGCACAAGTTAAATCAATGGAAAATGGACGAACCTCTTAATTTTGATAAGGCCAAACGAGTAATTGGGACCACTCTTAGACAAACGCTATGTAAGAAAGAATACTGACGTTGGCTTAGTAAGGTTA